CATTGCCCCATTTGTTAGGAAATGGAAAAACTTGGAAAAAATTATATTAAGTGAAGTAAGTCAGTCCAAAGAAACATAGGTCCCATGGTTTCCCTTATTTGCAATATCTAGTGTATGTATGAGTGAAGCAGAAAAGGTCAGATAATGTGATGTTAGGAAAATGAACCCTTAGATATGTATTTAAATTTTTTTCTTTCATGCCTTTGTTTCTAATGCATTTATAAGATTATTTCTTTGTTGCTTTGCATGTCCCTCCCCCATAGTATAACCCCTGCTTTCACTATATTTGATGTCGGTATAATTTGTGGAGGAGAAGGGGAAAATCAAGTCGTTTAAGGATACAGGTGGACCCGTTGCAACAATGAGAAGTACAAGTTGTCATGTCGAAAATGAACTTTACAACTTTGGCCTGGGGGAGGATTGGGTGGGGGCGATGGGGGAGGCAGGGGAGGGATGTGAAGGGTAAACAAAGGAAGAGGCTGCAATGCTTGATCAGGAATGTACTCATTATCTTGCCCACCTGGATCCCAGCTCTTTTAACAGTGTCTAGGCTGTGTTTTCTGATTTGTTTGTACTGCTGATTCTGGAATTTTCTGTGTAGCAATGCACATTTCTCACTTCTACACTGGCAGCATGAAATTCTCTTTAAGTGGAGTGGCAAGAATTTGACCCTACAATTAAGAAAAAGTCCAAAAACTTTCATTCAATCAGAATCTCCATCAGAGGATCTTTCTTTCCTGAAGGATTCCTTGTGTCCTTCGCTCTGCCAAAACTTTTTTAAAAAGGATTTATAAGAAGGAGGGCAACCTGGTGTAATAAAACCCCTGGTTATGAAAACAATGACTGCAATAACATTCTTTGAAGATACTCTGACATAATTAATGATCCACACTTGTTGAAAGATAATGGAGTGGCATACTTACAAATAGATTCTCTGTGTTAGGAATTCTCATTCCACAGTTTCATGCCAGCTATGTATTTCTCTGTATTGTATTTCACAGAATGGTCTGATCTTAACAGACTATACAGAAGTTATGGGTCCTTTCAGAAAGTGGGGTGTGGTGGGTTGTTGAATGTAGATGGGATGGGAATGTCTCCTGATGTCAATTCTCTGGGAGCCTGCCTGGCAGGAGATGGAAGCCTTGTTCCTAGTGCCTAGCCTAATAGCCACCTGAACAGATAACTGAAAAGCCAACAATAGAAAAGGACAGGTAGAGTTGGTAGAAGTAAAAATTTTATGCACCCTCTCAGTGGAAAAGTTTGAAATTACAAGCCTTGCCTTATTTTTTACCAAACCCGTAACCAAGTAACGTAATATAGACACAATGGAATTCTATGCCTCCGTCAGAAAGAATGACATTGCCCCATTTGTTTGGAAATGGAAAGACTTGGAAAAAATTATATTAAGTGAAGTAAGTCAAGCCCAAATAAACATAGGTCCCATGGTTTCCCTTATTTGCAATAACTGGTGTATGTCTGAGACAAGCAGAAACAGTCAGATAAGTGGATGTTAGGTGAAATGAACCCCAAGATAAGGATTCAAATGGTTTTTCTTTCTTGCTATTGTTCCTAACATATTTATAAGATGATTTCTTTGTTGCTTTGTATGTCCCTCCCCCACGGTATAACCCCTGTTTTCACTGTATTTGATGTTGGTATAATTTGGGGAGGGGAAGGGAAAATACAAATTGTTTAAATAGGGATACAGGTAGACCCATTGCAACAATGAGATGTACAAGACATTATGTCAAAAAACAAATTTTATAACTTTTGTGCAGGGGTGGGGAGTGCAAGGGGTGGCCAGGGTTGTAGTAAATGGGAAGGCATGTAAGGAGAAACAAAAAAGGAGGCAACAATACTTGATAAAAAATGAGCTCATTACCTTGCCCATGTAATTGTAACCCCTCTGTTCGGTATTTTCACAATAAAAAAAAGAATCTATCTGAAGGTCCTCTGCCAATTAATGAGAATCAACTTTGAAACCACTAGAATCTTCAACAACAGAGACCTGGGTGACATCTTAGGACACATCCACATAGAAATTTTTTCCCAATTTGCCAAATTAACATTCTCCTCCTATGCAAGTCTCATGGCTATGATACATCAACTGTGCAGCAATCAGCAGTTGAAAAATTCAATGTTTGCTGTCTACCATCAGCTCAGTATCAGAAACAGCTTATAAAACAATGGGCCTGATGGGTGCGGTGGCTCATGTCTCTAATCCTAGCTATTCACAAGGATGAGATCTGAGGATCATAGTTCAAACCAGCGTGGGCAGGATAGTCTATAAGACTCTTATCTTCAATGAACTACCAGAAAACCAGAAGTGAAACACTGGTTCAAGGGGTAGAGCGCTAGCCTTGAGCTGAAAAGCTTAGGGACTGTGCCCAGGCCCTAAATTCAGGACTCATGACTGACAAAAACAAAACACAAAAGCAAAAACAAAAAAATTAAAGGTCACACTCACCATCTTCTACTGAAACTCAGATGAGATATTATTTTTTTCTGTATAAGAAATCCCTATTAGTGACCTGGCTGTCTAAAGCTTTTTAAGTCTGTAGCCAAAAGCTTTAAATTCAGAAACAAGTGTTTATCAAGTTTTTAAACAAGTGTTTGTCACTTTTTACTATTTAACAAATTAATTCTATCATTAATTGTCAAACAGTGTCAATTCTCCAAGATTTGAAATAAACATGAAGGGAAAAGGCTAACAAAAATACTGTCTCAAGATATGAAAAGGAAAAAAAGGATTTGAAAGAAAATGTGGATTACATTCATAACTTTTTCCACTGTCCTGGAACTTGAACACAGGGCCTGGGTGCTGTCCCTGAGTGTTAGCCCAATGAGCTCCCTTCACATAGTTTAGTACACTCATTCCCCTCTCCACAGCTTTGTATACCCCCTTCCTAAGCAACACAAGGTCCATTTAGTAAAGGCAGTGAATAATCAGCCTCCAAACTTGGGATGAAACTTCTCTGGGGCAGCTACCACCACATAAGGCAACAAGAGTCCCTTAGAGTGACCTTCAGGTGTGGGCAGCTGTAGGACCCCTTATCTACTATTTGCACAGCAGCCATAAATCTTAGTCTGCCATGATGAGGCCCCTGGCCCACAGGTCTACACCAGGGTCTCTGCCTCCTTGCTCCTTCTACCCCTCCTAAACCTTCTAGGTTATATAGTTCACCTCAGACAATAGCTGGTGCTTCTTCTCTCTTTTTCCTTGTGAGAAGGGGTCTTTCCAGCCCCTTTCCTGGCAATAAACCTTTCTTTGTTCTCTGCTTGGATGTCTGCATGGTTTTCTGGCAAAGTCCAAATAATCTAACATTGTGTATAAGGCTAGCTAGCACTTTACTACTTGGACCATGGTGTGACTTCTGGCTTTTTCTGAGTAGTTTATTGGAGATAAGAAACTCAGACTTTTCTACCAGGCTGGCTTCAAACCAGGATTCTCAGATCTCCTCTTCCTGGGTAGGTAAGATTACAGGCATAAGCCACCAATGCCCACCTTTCTAAATATGCCTTTATTCTATGTTTAAATAAACATTCAACAAAAGTAAGGTATTTCTAACAGTTGCTCTCCAATACTAGCAAACAGATACTTAGTTTCTTCCTTTTGCCTTCCAGTAATTTCCAAATACTTTAAAACTTCTTTTTATAATTTCTAGAAACATCACTTCAAAAGTGTAAACTAACAAACAAAAAGGAATTCTGATAGGTGATAGGAAAGTACAATGGCAGTATAGGCCAGTACATGATGTCTTTTATTTTTGCCAGTCCTCACTTGAACTCAGGGCCTAAGCACTGTCCCTGAGCTTCTTTTGCTCAAGGGTAGCACTTTAGCACTTGAACCACAGCGCCACTTCCAGCTTTTTCTGTTTATATGGTACTGAGGAATAGAACCCAGGGTTTCATGCATGCTAGGCAAGCACTCTATCACTAAGCCACATTCTCAGCTCTCTATTTTTTTAAAGAAAAAAATACAATTCTAAATATCTATTCACCAAACAATGGAGCACCCAAATTTATCAAAGAAACACTACTTTCCCTCAAATCCCATATAGATCCAAAGACATTAATTGTTGGGGATTTTAACAC